TCAGTTTATCTGTTTAACAGATGCTTAGTGCACCAGCTATTCTATAAATGTTTTAACTCTGTGTGTGTGTTTGGATTTTTTAAGCCTCACAGAAAAGATTCTGTGATTCTGTGAAAAACTGCACAAAATCTATGCCAGCACCTTACCTCGTGACAGTAAAAACAGCTGTGCTGAATCAATGACCTCCTCCTGAAGCTGTATCTCTGTTAGAAATCAGGCTCACAATCCAGAACACTATCCATGTGAAGTAAGAAAGCATAAAGAGGATGAATGTTGAAAGATAATCATCCACCAGTGTGAAAACTATCAAGAGAAGTCTTCAGTTCCAGACCTCTGAATAGAATGACATTTTAGCTCTTCAAAGCCATCAACTTTTGTGCTATGATTAAGCTGCTTATATGCATTTGAATTGTGCTTGCAAAGGAGTACTGTGCTGTTGCAATACTTCTACAGCCATTTTCAAATTAATTTAAGAACTATTTAAATGGATTACTGCTCTTCATTGTTCTGTGCATCAGATTTCTCTTCCCATATTTTATACATTTATATCTATGCATATACACACACAAAGAGGAAGAAAATTACATAAAAGGAGAGAAAAAAATTTAACTAGTGACTCTCACTTACCCATCCATGAAAGCCTTCTAGGTGAGTTGCAACACTCAACACAAGGTAAGAAGGTTTGGCACATGGAATGGGTTGTAATCAAGCTCCATTGCCTTCTCCAACACATCTACCCACTCCCTTCAGCACTGCACATTCAACTGCTTTATTTGTTAACAGCTGCTTAAGACACCTCTGTGTCAGCTTTCAGACCTCTGTAAATCCCATCCTCAAGCATTGAATACAGCCCTCACTCACTGATAAAAAAATCCAGTTTGATAGTTGTTCTGTGGCAGAGAAAATCCATATAATGTCACAGTAATAGGGCACAAAGACTGGTCTAGTATAAAAATCACTCTGTCGGATCAAATTTGTTCCAGACATTTTGATGGAATACCTTCGCACTTGCAAAGCTTCACACTGGAGAGGCTATTGTCTATTCTCGCACAGACAGCCAAAATGATAAATCCAGCATGAACTTAGCATTGCTTGCTCTGCTAATTCAACAGGAATGTGATCATGCACCCAAGCCTGGCCTATCTTTCAGGCCATCAAATACTGCACAGATCTGGCACTAAATATCATTTAAGCATGACCAAAGAGAGTGTCAGGACAAAAGACAGTATGGGTGAAAAGACTAACAACCATTTATGGCTGCAACAATTTTGATAACCAATCTCAAAATTCCATTTCCATGCAAAATTTCATTCTCTGAAAATCATTCAGAATGACTAACTTACATGTACTGTGTCCTGCAACACCAGGCATGAACTATATTAAAATTAGAAAAGGACAGATATGGTAGATTAGGCAGTCCATTCTCTTGCATATTGCTCACTGTGGGAATTCTAATAACTACAGAGCACTATCTTGTATTCATAATAGTTTATAAAATGAAATTATACTGCTTCTGTGAGTATTTATATAACCTTTCAAAAATGCAGCAGAACTGTTTCTTCTCTGAGAGCTTTAGGTTCACAAATAGGACATAAATTTTACTTCAACATGTACAAAAGCTGGTATTTCCCTCCAGTGAACTTCTACAGAGATATCTGTAAAGAGTTCTTTCACAGTGCCAGCACTATACATTAAACAAAGGGGAAAAAAAAGTGGAAAAAAAAAAAGTACCTCAAACCCACAAGCCAAGAGGACATCCGGCAAAATTTTTTATTCTTTTCGATGCACTAGATGGTGATTAATCTGGTGCCATTCTAGCAAAACCAAAAACAAGATTCTAAAAATTAGCAATATCAGGGCAAATACATAATTCTGCTGCAGTAAACAAATGGTTTTTTTCTCTGTTTATGCTGAAGATACATATAAAAAAATACCACTAAATAATAGAGGAACCTAATTGTTAACACATTTATTTTAACTCTCTAAAGAGAAGGTGTGTTACCTGATCTCAATGTTGCAAACTTTTTGGGACACAATATTTTTATGAAAGCCATTCGAAACCTCATATGACAGAGAGGGTAAAGAAATGGGTTCAAAGAGGAATTGATCCATAAAAGCCAAAAGGCTGCTTCATACAAGGAGTTATGGATGCACTTTCCTTGGCAGGCCCCACGAATAATCATTAATAAAGAGTATGGGGCCCAGCAAGTGGCAAACACACAGACGATTATGGCAAGTGACTTTGCGATTTTTTTGTCCCGCTGCAGTTTTGACCCAGTCCTTGAATGGAAAGAAACAGAAAAGTTCCTTTTGAGAGCTGTAGGACTGGTTTCTGTTCTAGATGGACAGTTAGCCATCACTGCTGGTCTCCAAGACCTTGTTAGCGATGAAACACTGTCCTCTGCGTCCGAGGAAGGAGAAGATGCCCCCGACCTTGGCAAAGGGCAAAATCTCCAGGACAGGCTGCTGCTCCTTGGAGGATCACAGTCCTGCACACCGCCTTGCCGCTGGCGCCTCTGGATGCTGTGGAAGATGTGCATATTGAAGTAGATCACCAGGAGCAGTGGCACAAAGAACTCCAGGGTGGATGCACACAGGAGGAAGTACCAGTTGTCAAAGAACTCGGCGTAGCACTGATCTGCCGCTACTGCGCTGTGTCCAGCCACGTGCTCCCAAAAGAGAATTGCTGGGCAATAGAGGAGAAAGGCTA